CAGGGGACTGGTCTAGTCCAGTTCTCTGTGGTCTGGGGATACAGGTTGGTGTATTCTTAAATCTTTTTATAAAATAAGTGCTAGAAATTAAAGGCTGACCTGATCTCTGAGGCTGAGCTTACTGTAAGTTGCAGCCTGTATGCTGTCCTCACCCTTGCCTGGTTTTGGTTTGGTATATATTGCCCATGTCAAGATTTCCTACCAGGAGTGTTTCAGTGTGCCTGCTTGGAGTAGAGGTAAGGGCAGGGACCATAACTTGCACCATGTAACATGGGTGTTATCTTTAGTCCTTTTACCAACACTGTGTCATCTGATGTCACTCATAAGAATATGTAAAGCTTCAAGATGGTCTAGGTATCTGTCAGAGAATTCCTGGATTTATTTCAGAACACAGTGCCAGCAGAGAGGGCTCATACAATCTCTCTGTTTATCATCCTAGGCTTATGCCTTTTGGTCTACACACCTTTTCCATCTGCAAGATAATTGTTGTTCTGGAAAATGTTGACAATGTGCAAGCAAAATACAGAGGCTCTGTAGTGCAGGGGGTGATTGGGAGTGGGAAGAAAGCAAAGGAGCAGATTTTGTGTCTTTAGTAGATGAATACCTGGGGGATTTTTCTTCTTTTTTTTTTTATGAGTCTTTTCAGTTGGACCTTGCAAGTGTTTACTTTTTACCTGTAGATGGGAGCGGCTCCAAGGGTTGTGCCTGCATCTTATCCTTAAAAAGACACACTTTATGTACTACTGGTCTTTCATGTCAATGCTGTTTAGTTTAGGGATAACCCTTCTCCATGTTGCCCTTTACAAGATGTAGCCCCACTCCTTTCCTTTTTCTGCAGTCAGAATTCAAGCCCATTATGTATTAAAACTGGTATTTAGTTTCCTGCAAAATTTCGTAATTGCTTAAGTGAAGCAGCTACGGTTTATATCTGTATTTCAAGTCCATTGTTTGAACACTGTTCTTTCTTTGCAATTAAAGAAACTAATTTTTCCAGATGTATCTTCTTTTGAATCCTCTTTTTTTTTTTTTTTTCCCTTTCTCACTCTAATTTAAAATTACTTCACTTTTATTTTTCTCCCAGGTCCTGTTTTTGGAAAAAGCTCTACATCCAGCTTTGGCATTTTCCAGGGCAAAAGATTCTTTAGCTGTGTCTTGCAAGCTGTGTCCTGCTTGGGTTGGTGTGGGTGAGGGGGGGCTTTTTCGGAACGCAGGACTTGGAGAAGGTTGTTTGTAATTCTGGTCAGTTTGGTGGTTGTTGCTTGCTGACCACAGATGGGTCTCATGGAAGGGTGAATGACGTATAATCTTTTCCTAAAAAAATACATGCAATCCCCAGAGTGTTGGGGGTATGCTCTGCTGAAAGGGGTAAAATGTCTCAGTTTGTTTGGGATATAGGAGGATCTTATGGGGTAGTCTCATATATCTAATATGCTTATTCTCCTATGCCACACTTCAGGAGGGGAGGCTTTTTGACAGAAAAGATACAATAAAACCCAGATAAATATTGACTTAAATGCCATTTAACATTATAAAATATTCACCAGGCTGTTCAGTCCTTTTGTGTCCCTGCTGCCTGATACCACTGTTAGTCCCACTTATCAGACCAAGACATTTGTCTGGAGAAGCATATTGTGATTGCTGCCCAAGTAACGCAGTGTGGATTAGGAAGGAGATGGAAGTGATTAGGAGGGTATGAAGGCAAGTGAAATGAGAATTTTTGTGGGGTTTTTGTGTTTGTTTGTTTGGGATTTTTTAATAAGAACTTTATAAATTATTTCACCAAAGAGATTATTTCGATCCAGTAAGGCAGATTCTTCTTTCTCTGTTCTCTTTCTTTTCCTTTATCCATGAAGAATACAATTTCCAGAGTTGTAACATGATCATTTATGACATGAGCCCAGTTTTTTGGGAATTTGGTCCTGAGATAAGTGAGGGAAGGGGCTCACTTTCTTATTTTCTGGAAGCATGTCTCAATTTTGCTTTCAGTCATATTCAATTATTAACAAGACATTTTCTACTCAAGTAGGTTCTATGCAGTTTCTTGCAGTTTCAGAAGCATTGTCATACTTTATGAATAGTACCATAAAAAGCATTAGCTGTTTTCATATCCTCTGAAATTCATAGCCTCAGTCTCACTTGTCACCTTTTCAGAAAGACACTGAATGACTTTCTAGTAATACAGCTAATGAGCCAGGCCTTTAGGATGCTGTGCATTTCTTGTTTGAGTTTAGGGATTTTTTTAACTTACGTCTTGCCTTACAATTTTTGGTCACTTTTCTATTTTGAAAATACCTTTGATTTTGAAAAAGAGAAAAAAAAAAATCTGTG